TTTTCATTTCCATCAAACAATGGGGCATCCTTATGTTCCTAACACATTACTCAGCCCATATCAGTATAGATATCCAGCATGATATTTTTCCCCATTGAGATCTGATGTGTTTTCATAGTGTTTCTTTAATTTTTTGAGCAATATATATATATATATATATATATATATATATAAAATATATAAAATGTACAGCGCTGAGCAAACTGTTGGCGCTATATAAATCCTGTATAATAATAATATACACACACACACATACAGCTTCAACTTTTCTGGGAAGGCTGTCCACAAGAGTTAGGATTGCGTCTATGGGAATGTTTGACCAGAAGCGCATTTGTGAGGTCAGGCACCTGTCAAAACCATGTACCCGCTCCCCCCCCCCCCCCCCCCCCCCCTCAGCTCACCAAAGTTGCCAAATGTGGCTTCGGAGAGGGAAAGGCAGAAAAGCAGAGCTTCCACTTTTGGGTGGAACTCCGTCCCAGGCAAGTACCGTTCTCCTGGCAACTGCCAAACCCAGACACATCCATTGGATTGCCAGACAGAGAAGCACGATTTGTCGTTGCAGAGAACACATCTCTACTGCTCTAGAGTCCAATCCAATGGCGGTGTGCTTTACACGACTGCATCCGATCCTTTGCATTGGTGATGTAAGGTTTGGATGCAGCTGCTCGGCCATGAAAACCCATTCTTTACAGACTGTTGCTGTGCTAATCTGAAGGCCACGATAAGTTTTGGAGGTGTCTATCTATTGACTCTGCAGACAGTTGGCGACTTACATGCACTGTGCGCTTCAGCATGTGCTCTGTCATTTTACGTGCCCTACCACTTCATGGCTGAGTTGCTGTTGTTCCTAGTTTCTTCCACTTTGTCTGGAGTTGATTCTAAGTGTGGTTTTTGCATTTGGAATCTTTTGCTGTGAACCTACAGCATGCGTTCAAAGGAGCTGAATGAAGAACACTCTACAGGAGGTGGGCGTATCATTGTCAAAGTCTACAATCAAGAGAATACTTCACGAGGGCTAATACAGAGGGTTCACCACATGCCTGAAGAATAGAAATGCCAGATTAGACTTTGCCAAAAAACATCTAAAAACGCCAGACCAGTTCTGGAAAAGCATTCTTTGGGCGGATGATTAATCTGTACCAGAATGATGGGAAGAAAAAAGTGTGGAGAAGGCTTGGAACAGCTCATGATCCAAAGCACACAACATCATCTGTAAAACATGGTGAAGGCAGTGTGATGGCATGGGCATGCATGACTTTTAGAGGTACCGGGTCATTGGTGTTTATTGATGATGTGTGACAGAAGACAGAACCAGCAAAGTTGAGGCTGGCCACTCCATAATGTCAATCTTGTTGGTCTGGAACCAAGATGTTGCAGGTTTACTGGTGTGTTTGGGGTCGTTGTCTTGTTGGAACACCCATTTCAAGGGCATTTCCTCTTCAGCATAAGGCAGCATGACCTCTTCAAGTATTCTGATGTATTCAAACTGATCCATGATCCCTGGTATGCGATAAATAGGCCCAACACCGTAGTGTGAGAAACATCCCCATATCATGATGCTTGTGCAACCATGCTTCACTGTCTTCACAGTGTACTGTGGCTTGAATTTAGTGTTTGGGGGTCGTCTGACAAACTGTCTCCGGCCACTAGACCCAAAAAGAACAATCTTACTTTCATCAGTCCACAAAATGTTGCGCCATTTCTCTTTAGGCCAGTCAATGTGCTCTTTGGCAAATTGTAACCTCTTCAGCACATGTCTTTTTTTCAACAGTGGGACTTTGCGGGGGCTTCTTGCAGATAGCTTGGCTTCACATAGGCGTCTTCTAATTGTAACAGTACTCACAGGTAACTTTAGACCTTCTTTTATCTTCCTGGAGCTGATTGTTGGCTGAGTCCTTGCCATTTTGGCTATTCTTCTATCCATTCGAATGGTAGTTTTTTGCTTTCTTCCACGTCTTTCAGGTTTTGGTTGCCATTTTAAAGCATTTGCGATCATTTTAGCTGAGCAGCCTATCATTTTCTGCACTTCTTTATATGTTTTCCCCTCTCCAATCAACTTTTTAATCAAGGTACGCTGTTCTTCTGAACAATGTCTGGAATGACCCATTTTCCTCAGAATTTCAGAGAGAAATGCACTGTAACCAGCATGTACAACATTTGCTGCCTTCCTTCCTTAAATAAGGGCAATAATTGCCACCTGTTTTTCAAAGAATGAATGACCTCACTAATAGAACTCCACACTGCTATTATTTTGAACATGCCCCTTTCAATTAGTGATTCAATTATACAGAATCAGCAGCATGCATGTCATGAGTGTTGGGTCTGTTGGATTTCTATTACTCTACTACACCTGCTAGTAAATTATTTGCCATGTAGAAATATCATTTCTACCAAAAACAGTGATTGATCAGGTTAGTGATGTCTGACTGCTATTATTTTGAACACAACTGTATATATACACACATACATACACACACACGCGTATTAATTTTCCCCAGGCATACACTTTAAACCCATACAAAAGGCTAAACAAAACAGGAACACTTTTGCCCATAATGGAAAGATTTGGACAGAGTTGGAACGCTCATTAGATGTAAACATTGCCCCTTTGCCAAAAGAACCAAAACAATAACCACTTCCGATCAAGTATGCAGCTATTTTTTTATTCAGGTTTTTTCCATTTTATGTTTTATAAAAAATATTATACCAAAACAGAGAAGCAAAAAAAAAAGGAACAACAATGTAACCCTTTACAGCGCCAGATCCAAGATGTACGGTCCATTGTATTAAAGTAGTAAAATTGCACAGAAGTTTAAATTGCCAAATGCTGACATGGAAACTGAAAAAAAGGTGAGGAATCTTTCCCAATAAAAGGATTATCTATAAAATAAAGCAGTGCCATGAGCAACAATGTGCAAAAACAAATACTAGCCATGTAGATTCTAGTAAGGTTGATAATTCCCATAAGGCTACAGTAATGAACCAACCAGAATTCATTGTCATACTCTTTGGTGGCATCTTGGCCTTACAACATGGCAAATGGAGAACCTTCAGCATTGTTAGGACTTTTGCAGCAACCTCTGATTGGTTGCTATGGTTTCTTGCACTTCGCATGTTGCCTTATCACGTAAGTGTCATGTTTTCTAGCAGTAATAGATCATAAATTCCAAAATTCTCAGCAAGCCACTGGCCAGCCACTGGCTTGTAAAGTGTCATGGAATTTTGACCTAAACTAGGCAACTACATCTCCTTTTTTTAAATGGGCCTGAGCGTTTAATACACTTACATTTTTAATGCTGAGCTAGTAAAAAGGCATCTGTTATGGAAAGATAGCAGGACCTGTTATCCTCATAGGGGCTTCATGATAAAGGGAACATAGCAAATATAACTAATAAATACTATTTACAACAGCAGGAGGGACATTTAGGTGGCTGCATGATCAGGAAGTAGACTTTAGGGGCATGATTGTTTAAACAAATAGTATGAACTTTTCAAGGACTAGAACATCCAAAATTGATACTTTTTGTCCAAAATTGGCCTTTTTATAAGAGGAGCCTTAGTGCTCCTATTGTTTTTTTGTACAAACTATAAATGTGAAATTGTACACAAATAGTAAGCCACCCTTATAATGGCCCTGACATGAGGGTGGAAGTGGGAACTCACATTCAGAGATGTCACAAGCAAAAAATAAGTGACTCAACCCACTGAAATATCAGTTTTATTTGCACTGACCCTTTAGACCATAATCTGAAGAAGTGTATTAACAGTAGGGCTAGCTATGCCTACAGAAGGATAGATGACAATTAAAACAATAGCCAGGCATGTTCAGAAGGATCAGTATTTAAGGCACTGAGAGACACAGGGCAAAGACTACGTGGACGTGGGACTTGGGGCAGATTGGAGTTATGGCTATGGAACTTCTACTCCCCCCAATATCATATTGTATTGTCTGCAGGGACATTTAGTTCCAGATCAGCTGTAAAGGCACTGCTTCCAGGTTATTACAGGCTATAAACCCTGAATTTTACCATGTTTTCCTTTTTTAGGCTGTTTACTAAAGGACAAATGTAGTCACATAAAATCATCATCAACGTCCATAATATCAGGTGTAGGGAACTTGTTTTTCTTTTTGAATTGTAAATTTCAAAAAGAGAAATTTGAATTTCTCTTTTTGAATTGTAAGCTACAGAAGCAGTGCCCCTTTGCACACCATTTAAAATTTAGCTCTCCTAAACTGAAACAAACTTTCTGCTTGTTAAAGGGAGAAGCATTCCCCATAGGCTGGGATTGCATTATGTGTAACGGCTGTTATCCTGTCTGAAAACTTCTCTGAGACAGGCTATACTTCCTCCTGTAGACCCATAATTTTCCAACATTTAATTGTTATGTTCTCCACTCAGTGAATCAAAAGAAAAAAACTATTCGTCTTGCATATTTGGATTAAATATTGCGTTTAGCTTGGAGTTTTCCCTTTAAAATTTAGGAATTCTGTTCTTTTGTTTCATCTATTCCCTTCTATATTCCTGTTCGATTGTTTCCTGGTCTTTATATAAGGCAACATCATTATATAAAAATACAGCATAACTTATTTCATATTTTTATCTATAATTAACTATCTGGCTTTGAAATATCCAGGTTGCCTTAGCTTGCCTTTTTTTATTTTTGGAGGGGTAAACGGAACAGACATGGAATATATAATTTATTAAAATATAAATGTCTCTCTTCCGAGTCCTTTAAAAAAAAAAAAAAAAAAAACCACTGAAATGGTTCCACTTTGAGGATTTTGCTGGAGGCATACAGAAGGTCCAGAGGTACCTTCAAAGTCTTGCTTGCTACGATTGTAGATTATCCGCCAATGTCAAGTCTTGGGTCCCGACCTATGTCACCCATCAAACAGGGTTTAGTCCGAAAAGGCTGGGTCTGTGTGGGAACTTGAGGGGTGGCTGCAAGGGTTTGGGAAGAGTGGATTGTGGAAAGAAAAGGTGGATAAGGATCATCCATTAGGAAGTAGCATTCACTCGCCTGTCGAGTTCTATTACTTTTGTCTCATTCTGTCCGAAATCCGAAGTATACCTGAAAAAAAGAAAAGAAGGATCATTCATTGAACCCTTCTGTTGGACTAAGTTTTCATTCTGCTAATGATAGTTACTGTACCTGGTATAGTCAAAAGTCCAAATAGACAAATATGTTCCACAATAATGTACTGGCTAATGAAGTCTTACTTCTAAAGTAAACTCTGTGACCCAAATCTATTGGGCTTGTACATCATTTTAACCATTCCTAATGCCACCCACTTGCGAGAGACTAAGATTTGGTTCCCCCTCCCGATCCCCATTGCACCAAGTATGACCACCGGCCAAGATAAGAGATCTGTTTGGAGACAAATATTCTCCACGGGCCCAACTACATGGTGTCATGTGACCTTTTCAAATGCAAGACAACCTCTCTACATCTTTTCTCTTTTTTTTTTTTTTTTTATGGAGAATACTACACCATAAAGGGCCACCATCTTCCACTGCCTAAGAGTGACCACTGCATACCTGGGGATTCTGATGTTGTGCCGTTGTGAACAGGCAAAGTTATAGCACTTTCAGGTAGAGTCAGAGTGTGCTTGCTCCCTCCCAGCCCTCACACATTCTTACAGGTCCATCACTATGCTAGACCACCTGAATGGCCAATAGGAAGAGCACCTTATACCGCTAGCAGCTTTATTTATTTGTAGGTGACAGAATCTGTGCTTTGTCCACACAGGACAAAGCAGTTTACTTTAATACAGTCCTCCCCACAGCAACCTTTTGTTCTCCAGCCACTCCAGAGGAAAGAAAAATAAGGTCCTGTCCAGGCTGTTAGTTGCTGAAGTTGTAGGTTACACATTGTTTTAAACTCCCCAACAATAACACTGATTGGACCATGGCTGTCACATGGAATGAGTCACATGCTCGTTCATACCTGGAAGTATTGCTCTAGTGTTTTCTTTTGCTCCTGGCGCTAAATAGAGCAGTAGAGAAGATAAGGAAGAAGCTAAGGAACGGTAATTATATGCTGCTAGGAATAGGGGTTTAAATCAAATCTGCTGTTTTCCCCTGAATGGGCAAAGGGCATGTTTACTTTAAGCCAGTTTGGTAGCCTGGCAACTGGCATTTTCAGAAGGTCATCAATGACAGTGCCCATGCAGCAGCATTTAGCAGGTCCATTCCAGCTGTGCTAAACGCAACCAATACCTAAAACATTCCTATGCCACCTAAAACCTTTACACAAAATGAAGGCAATCCATCAAGTCTCACCTGTGCCGTACTATGCCATCTCGGCTGTCATTGGATAGGGTGTAAGACTTCTCTTGGGATCGGCTGATCTCCTCTATTGCTGCTTTGTGATGCTGAGAGATGATCTCTGCACTCCTGTCCCAGGCGTCATGTGAATCAACAGTCACTGCAGAGCTGTGCAGTTCTTCCCAGCCATGATGCTCCTCGAAGATCAGGAGATTCCTAGAACGCACTAACAGAACAACAAGGCTGTCAGTAACCTGCACTGAAAGCACTTTGCCGTATTCCTACACATTAGCCCTTTGACATGACCATTGGACCAAACTTTAGCAGCTTTGGCTAGCTTGACTATAATGCTACGTCAATGCGACTTAGCCTGGAGTTAAACTTTAAAAACATTCTTGGCTTTTATTTTTTTCTTATTTTTTTTTAAATATAAGCAGTTAAAAATGTTCTTTTAAATGCAATTTAAACTCAACATGTTATAATATTTTTTTCAGAACTTTTTAAAATACATTTTTATAGTGTGTACACCAGTTTAACAGCTGCAATCTGCCATCTGCTTCTGCCAATGTGCCTCTTTCTATGCAGGGCACAATGGCAACTGAGCTGGAAGGTTTATTTTGTAAACAAACCCATGTGATTGCTAAGATTTGCTGTCATCGTGATCACATTATCAGTAACCAATGGTAGAACGGTTCCTTAGTCGCTAGCATGAAACCAGTGTTGTCAGTTATAGTGCAGTATTGGCAGTAGTTCATATAGGACATGTAGCAGGGGAATATCAATTTAGGGACTGCTAGGGGTGCACTGAAATTTCGATGGCTGAAACATTTTGTTCGAAAACACCCCTGTTATTCGTTGGCTGATATGAAAAAAAGCACCAATACAGGTGCCGAAAAAAAAACCCGCTCCCTCGCCGCTGCCACCACCGGCCGCCACACGGTATTTCTCAGCCTTACCTGAGAAACCACTTAATTATCCCGGCGCTGGGCATAGAGATTAGTGAAGGAAAGATGGCCTCTACTCATCTCTATGCCCCTGGAGGACTGGAGCGATGTCACTTCTGGTCTGGTGCCATTTTTTTTTAAAGCACTAGATCAATGCTTTTTTTGATCTAATGCTTTACATTGTAGAGGAGATATGTGGGGTCTTATTGACCCCATATCTCTCCATAAAGAGGACCTGTCACTAATTATTTCTATCACAAGGGGTGCATGCATTCCTTGTGATAGGAATAAAAGTGATTATTTTATTTAAAGGGACAGTGTAAAAAAAAAAAAAAAAATTAAATAAAAAAAAAAAAGAAGAAGTTTAAAGTGCCCCTGTCCCCCCCGTGCTCGCACATAGTGGTGAACTCATACGTAGGCCGCGCCCACAAATGTAAACGGTGTTCACACATGTGAGTTATTGCCACGAACGTTGGAGCAAGAGCAATAATTCTAGCACTAGACCTCCTCTGTAACTTTTCACTGCTAACCTGTAGACATTTTTAAAGCGTCACCCATGGAAATTTTTAAGTGCCGTAGTTTGACGCCATTCCATGAGCGTGCGCAATTTTAAAGCGCAACATGTTGGGTGTCTATTTACACGCTGTAACATCCTCTTTCATATTTTACAAAAAAATGGGGGTGTATATATAGTGGATTTTTTTTTTTTTTAATCAAAGTGTATTTTTTTCCAAAAAATATATATAAATTTTTTAAAACTGCCTATTTCAGTTTTGGTTTTCGGCCAACTGCATCCTGAATTTTCGTTTTTGGTTTCAGCACCAGAATTTTCATTTTGGGGCACCACTAGGGGCTGCAGGTGGGAAAGGGTTATTAGGTCAGACATACCTATTGATGCTGCATATGATTCTGATGCTGAATGTCTGCTTGGTTCCTGCACTGTCTTGGTAGCTGATGGGTAGGGGTCAAAGGTCTGTGTGAAGCTTCCAAATATGACGGCAAAGCACAAAACCACCACCTGAGGGAACACAAGAGAGAGACTTAAAACAAGCTACTGTATATATTTGGACACAGGCACAATTTTAGTTTTTCAGGTATTTACCAAAACATATTCAAGCTATAGTTATATAATAGATATTGGCTGAAAGTGCACACACTCAGGTTTAATTTGAGGGCACGTACATCCAAATTGGAGGAACGGTTTAGGAATTACAGAGAATAGCCATCCCCCCTTTTTCAAGGGAAGTAATTGGACAATTGAATCAAAAGCTGTTTCATGGCCAGGTGTGGGCAAAATAAAAAAAAAAAATTCTGTAATACTGTACATACACATTTCCCCATATTATGTATTTTTAAAAGCAATGTAAATATAGGAAAATAACTGTCCATTCAGCCAGAAATTCAGTGAGCTCCCAATTTCCTGTCTGAAGTGACAAAGATGCCTCTTCTGCGCTGAAATCCCAAGCAGTGTTGTCAGCACTTCCCAGATCTCCTCTGCTGGACTACAGAACATCTCCCCTTTCCTCATTTCTATAACATATGGGGGATGTTCTGTAGTCCATCGGGAGAGGGCGGAAAACACTGCTTAGGATTTTAGTGCAGCAGAGGCAGTTGTCAGTCACTACAGGAAGTTAGCTCACAGAATTTCAGGCAAAACAAGAGCTGGGTTTCTGTCCTTGCAGAGACAAAACAAGTAAAAATGTGAATGTATTGCAGATATGAACTAAATAGGCTTTTTTTTTTGATTTTGCCCTGACATTTACTTTAAAGTGACTCTCTTTTTTGCCCATTAAGGGCAAAGTAAGGGAGTCACTTAACTCCCCTATCGCCCTTCCCAGCAGCATATTTTCACCTTTTCTTGCCCCAGCATTGCTATGTTCTCACACTGGGGCTAGAGAAAGTCCTGTGTAACCTCCAAACTTGTTAGTTGAAACTTACACAATTAGGGTCAATTAGGAGGTACTAAGTGCTGTCACATGGGAGAAGGTGTGTGAGTCACATGCTAACCTTTAGGCCTTGTTTAGAGGGAGGCATTCTCTACCATCCCTATAAAAAAGTGATCCACAGTGCAACTCTTTTCAGAGGACAGTAGACCAGCAGCTTTCATGCTTTCAAGAAGCAATTCTGCCATCTTTTGAATGCCTTTTCCAGTCAAAGCTGGGTTTTGTAATGCAACGCAGACCCATTGACTTCGATGAGCGAGTCTTTTTATAGATGGTGTTACCGGTCAAATTTGCCAATCCAAATTAAGTTGGTCACAACATCATTATTATAATAAAGGATTTATATAGCGGCAACAGTTTCTGCAGCGCTTTACAGCATTAGGGCAAACAGTACAGTTACAATACAATTCAATAAAAGGAATAAGGAGTAAAATGGCCCTGCTAGTTAAAGCTTACAATCTAAAAGGAAGGGTCGGGTGATACAAAACATAACAACTGTGGGGGAGAAGCTGATGGAGATAATAAAAGTACAGCTGTTAAGTGGAGGTGGGACAGGCTTCTCTATAGAGAAGGGTTTTCAGGAATCTCCTATAAGTGGACAGAGTAGGCAATAGACAGAGTAGGCAATAGACAGATTGCGGTAGGGAGTTCCGAAGGATGGGAGAGGCTCAGGAGAAGTCCTGGAGGGGAGCATGGGAGGTAGTGGGGAGGGAACTAGAGAGCAGGCAGAAAAACAAAAAGAATGATTTGGTTGGTATTTTGAGAAAAGGTTAGTGGTGTAGCTGGGGGGGCACAGTTGTGAATGGCTTTGTATGTTGTTGTTAGTATTTTGAAGGTTACTCAATGGGTGACCAAAAGCCAGTGGAAGGACTGGCTGAGAGGGGTAGCAGTCACTGATCGACCCCTACAACTGCATGTCATCCATTACATGGGTAATCGAGAGGCAGTAAAAAGTGGGTGATCTCCTGCTGGGAAGGGGTTAGTTAGGTGAGCATTTTACTTTTTCCTGGGTAATCAAAAAGGGCAGTAAAAGTACCAAAGTTAAAGGAAAAATTCGTTAGTCTGCAAACATTTTATTTTTCTACGTCTGCGTCCTGATGAAAAAAAGTCACCATCATTTTGTGTGTACGAGAGGAGGACTTCACCAAGGACGTGTTCTAATTATGGTGCGACTAAGCACAATGAAACCAGGACCTGGGAAGATCTAGTTTCATTATATTTAGAAAGGTTTAGATAAATGGATAAACAGTGTAATAGATGCCACAGGGAGAAAAGGAACGTAAATAGATCCTTTAAACAAAGCAAAGGTTAAAATGGCTCAGTTGTTCCATTCAGGCTATTCTAGGTGCTCTAAAGAAGCTGAAACATACCCACAACTCGGAACTAATCTGGCTGAAACACAATGAAGGACAATTTTAAAAACCGCAGGAAAGAAACCTGTGGCCCAAAAGTAACCAATGAGATTCCATTTAAAAAAACCGACATCTGGAGTCGGCTTCCCAGTGCCAGCACAGACACTTTACTCTAGTTTGCAAATATTAGCTCCTACAGTGTACAACTTGTAATCCAGGATATCCCAAGGAACCCAATACAAAAATGGAATATACTGCAGCTTGCCAGTCTTTAGATGTTGTGTTGCATTAGTACATAAATGTAACTGTTTTTCTTGTCAGAATTCCTTGTGACTTGCTGCGAGCTGAATAGATCAATCTTATCCGTTTTTCTAGCTTGTGAATTGCAAGAGAATGCCTCCGTATATAGTGGGCATGCAATGAGGAAGAGGGGCTAGTAGTCCGAATGAAGTAAGCAATCTAGAGACAACGCAGTGATATAAGGTGGATAGAACAGAACATAAATGTCCCGTGTGATGACATATCTTAGCTCACTGCAGACTTTTGGAAAGAGAGTGAATTTCAGGAGCAGGAAGATGAGAATTTTGAATTGAATCCGGCCTACGAATACAGTACTATTGTCTTGGTTGGACAGGAAATTTAAATACATTTTTTAGGGTGGGTGGGAAAAAAAAAAAAAAAAAAAAAAAAAAATCGCACTGTCCTCAGATTGAATACTGAGAAGCATAGTTCTCTTGATCACAATGGTGGAAAGAGCACATGTCACGAAATGCTGGGTTCCAGCATGGTCCAAGTTCCATCTACAAACACCCACACGGAAAACACTCACCGATTTTGTTTTTTTTGTTTTTTTTTTAATTTTGGATTCATGTGAAGCTGATGTATTTTATTATAAAGGCCTATGGGTAAGTACATCCCCCCTTAAAAATCTTAGAGGCATTGTTGGCATTTGCCCTCACTTGGATTTAAAATGAAAAAATGTACAGTGAGTGCACCATCTGTCTTCTATTTCTGTATAGGAAGAAGGGTCAACTGCACACCGGAGGATAGATGAATATCGTGTATATTTATTGATCCATAGGACACAAAACACCAGGACATGAATACAGGACTTGTTAACGCGTTTCACACGATCTCATGCTTAATCATATGGGTTATGATTAAGCACGAGATCGTGTTAAACGCGTTAATATACACTATATTCATGTATCCTCCGGTGTGCGGCTGACCCTTCTTCCTATTGCATCGTGTGTGGTGGTGAGCCAGAGCCTGCACATGTTGTGGATTGAGCTGGATTGTTTGCCTGAGCGGTATACCTCTGTTCTTTGGATTCTATTTCTGTATAGCATAGGGCTGAAAATCTAAACTAAAGAACAATATAATGAATCTTAACAGTTTTTAAATGTGGTGGCAGCATTAGTTTTCCTTTTTGGGGCTTTTATTTTTACCTGGCGATCCTGCCAGAAACACAGGAGGGCACAGTATGGGGGGGGGGGGGGGGGGGGGGGGGTTCAGGACAGCACAGCACAGAACAGGCAGGTGGGAAACAGCAAGGACAGGCAGGAGGGGACAGTACAGAGCGGGCAGGGGGCACAGTATGGGGCAGGCAGGAGGGTACAGTACAAGGCAGGCAAGAGGGTACAGTACAGAGAAGGCAGGAGGGCACAGTATGGGGCAGGCAAGAGGGTACAGTACAAAGAAGGCAGGAGGGTACAGTACAAGGCAGGCAAGAGGGTACAGTACAAGGCAAGCAAGAAGATACAGTACAGGGCGGGAGGGTACAGTTAAGGGTGCAGTAATGTATAATACAGCACTGTTCTGACAAGAGGGAGGAACTGGAGTGGGGAGAGTACAGCAGAGCCTGCACCTCCTCCAAGCTCTCTTTATCTCTGCAGCTGTCACTTCTGTCCCAACTTTACCGTTCACTGTAGGAGTTCACAGTACCACAGGATCTGCCCCCCCCCCCCACATGCCATGCCACATTCCTAGTTCAGCTGATAAGGAACAGCTAGTAAACTGTGCACATGCAGTTTGTATTTACCAGTGGAGCTGTCATTATCAATGGCAGCTCCTCCATGTTCACAGAGTGTCTGAAACTGCAGAGGCCCCCATGCACTTAGTGTGGTGCCTGTGCGTTAAAAATGGCCCTGGCGGCTGAGCCCCTCATGACGCCGGGCCCCCTACATGTGTTTGGGCTTGTGTGAGAGTTCCACATGTATCAGTTTTTTAACAATAGTGACGTTTTCCTTTAAACAGAAATGACCAACATCATGAACATAAGGCATGGTGGAAAGGAGGTAGAGTGACTTTGGACTGGAATTTATACAATGGGTGTTAGGACTGATACTCACCATAAGGCAGGTACCAGTTTGGGTGCTCGCTGCTTTGTATGAGCGGTTAACTTTGCCAGCTACCATGGCCTGGAGACGCTGCAGCTGCTGCAAGAGGGTCCTGTGGAAGAAAGATAACATTGAGGAGTATTAAAGGCAGGTCAGATCTGAAAACAGACTTTAGTTACAGAGGGGCTTATTGCTATTGCATCACATCATCGCAGCCCTTAATAACTTAGTAATCACCTATCGTTTTCCAATTTCTAAAAGCCTTCACATAGATATTATTATTGGGGTACTTGGACACAGTACTGATGTTTAGGCATCAGTATTCCTTCCCGAAATTGCTTGTGTTTATTTTGCACATATTATCTCTCAGAATGGAATTTTAACAATCAAGTTAATAGTTTATGTGCATATTTGCTCACATATGCAAAAAAAAAAAAAAAAATACTGACAGGCAACTCAGATGTCTGTACTTTTTTATGTGTGTGTAAAAATAATGGGTTAAATTTAGATTAGTAAAAAAGACACTTGTATATCTAGAAAAGATGAGCTTTTAGGCAGCAGTGTGCAAAAGGGGATAATACAGAACTGACACACTATCCACCAGTTAATGCAATACATTACAAAATAAAGGGAGACAGTATAGTTACAATACAGGTGGGTTAGGCATGCCCTGCTTGTGAGAGCTTACAATGTAATTCTGATACTGATGTATTAAAAGATGGCAGAGAACAGACAGATGGCTGAGAAAAATGGTGCAATATGTCCAAACTATGCCCAATAAAGCAGTGGCATCACCAACATACCAAAGTTAGGCAAAACGCAGGGATAATTATTGCCACAAATGTGTGATACAATAATGTTCCTTGCATCACATCACAAATTTGTCGAGAAATGTCCCTGTGTTTTGAATACGTTTGGGGTGCTGGTGATGCCAATGCTTTGTTCTGCTTGGTTGCACGGTGCCAACCATTTTTTCTGTAACTGCAGCACCCATTTTTGAATGTGTTTCAGCTGTATTGAGTGCATTGGGTCATACAGACTCATACCAAAATATGCCCAATTTACATTTACAATTTCAGCAACAAAAAGTCTAGTAAAGTCTTTAAACCTCTACAAAATCTATCTACTAAAGTACAATTTAATGAATTGTTTCTTGCTGTGCTATAACATGCTATACTATGCATTAACATGCATTGCGTTAGGGTAGTCAATTTAAATCAATGGTCTGCCAACGCACCCAAACGCCCTGACAATCAGACGAGCAATAAAAGTTGTAACGTAAGACATTCTAGTGTGTTGTTGTGTTATGCAGCTCACTGGAACATGTGTGTCTGGATGCTATTCAAAATAAATGGAACCACAGCACATGCAACATGTGCTTCTATATGGTACTACAACCCATACCTGTAATGGATCTGTATACAGTATGGATCACTTTTCAGCCACCTGGCAGGATGTTCATGCTTTTTGACTCGGGGGGGGGGGTTTAGCGCTAGACCAAATAATATCTGCATCTTCCTGTTTTCTTTAGGTTTTCCAAGCAAAACGCTATCTGTGCAGATACTATGAGCTAAATACTCTTCTGAAGACAATGCAATCTTAACAAGCTCTGAAAGTGATTTCTAATAACTACAGCACAATATGTTCAGAATACCAAGTTTGGACACTAGGGGGCACCATTACACTACCATAAAAGCATCATCTGTGGTTAATGTATAGACCAGGACCAGTCTTTCCCTAAATACTATACTTGTGTTACTCGTGATACTTGTGTTACATGGCATAACACCCAATTAGAAAACTGCTTGCAGCATTTCACAAGCAGTGAACATACCATAATGCAGCGATAGGGACACAGAATTCTACCCGCACGATTATTATCAGAGAAAAGGAAGAGTTATCTTACCTGTTAGCCGTTTCTAGAACTTCCACTTTCTTACGCAAATCGCTGTTTTCTGAAGAACAATTTTCCACCCTGTGGACACAACAGAGAGATCAGTCAGAGGGAGATACATTACAGTCACTAGGTCCAAATGATGTCATAAAAGCTCTAACAGCGACCTATTAGGGCTTCAGTTTGTGTTCTGTTCACACAGTGGTGAAGAGAGCTGAAAAAGGGAATCAAAAATGGGTCTGCCATGTTCCAGTACAGTTCTGTGCAGAAAAAAATGCAGCATGTTCCACATTTTTTTTCTGAACCGGAAACTGACTGGAACTGACTGCACTGGTGTGAACTATGGCCATTGGAATACATGTGGGGCAGCACAGTGGCTAAATGGTTAGCATGTCTGCCTGGCAGTACTAGGGTCTTTGTATTCATATCCCAACCATGGCACCACCTGACTGGAGTTTGCATGTTCTCCCTGTGCGGGTTTCCTACGGGTACACTGGTTTCCTCCCACACTCCAAAGACATGCTGGTAGGTTAATTGGATCCTGTCTAAATTGGCCCTAGTATGTGTATGAGTGTTAGTTACAGACTTTAGATTGAATGCCCCTTGAGGGTTAGAAACCGATGTGAATGTACTATGTGTGTGTGTGTAAAGCGCTGCATAAATTGATACTGCTAGAAAAGTACCTGAAATAAATAAATCATACATGGAAAACACTGCATTCATTTTTCATGCAGAAAAAAAGCGCATTGAACTGCATCTAATAACTAGCCCTAGGTGTATGTTTAGGGAAAAAAATATGTATATTCAGTACATCTCCACAACGCATTTCCCCCTATTTTGTCTTTTTAAAAAATAATGCTGCAAGAACAGAAAAATACCTGTCAACCTGCTACAAATCCAGTGAGTTATATGTAAACCCTCACCTTGTAAAACAACCCATTCAGTTTAAAACAGAACTGAAAGGCAAAACATTTGTGTATACATACAAAAAACATTATATCCACACCTTTTTTCACGATTTATCACATACCCTCTAAGCTCCTTATGGAGCTGAGAACAGAGAGTTGGGGGAAGAGAAACAGCAGCACTCTGAACTTCCCAGGGAATAGCTGTGCAGGGGGCCTGATCAATGGAAGAGAGCACACTGAGTTCCCAGCATAGCAAGAGAATTGACCACAGTATGTTCTCATGCTTAGTGTGGTCAGTTTTAATAGGAAAGCTGAAGGACTGGCAGGAACATCAGGGATTTCACACACAGGAAACAATACAAAGAGAACAGGATACTTTTTCAAGTATATGGTGCAACAGGCATATATCAGGAATATGAAATGTTGGTTTTCCATATTCTTTAAGCTCGGTATTCATTTTTCCTCTCAGCTGGCAGGCTGAAAAACAACCCCCAAAAATGGATTCCCCATCAACACAAATGAGGTTTATGGAGGACTCCTCTCTGCTGTGCTATTGTATTCTGGCAGTGGGGACTCCTCCACTGTCAGAACACAACGATCAGCACTGTACGATGGCTGCAGCAGCTGATCAAGTTAAAAAGTGTTCCAACATTTTCACTCGACAGAAGTTGATCTACCAATCGACTTCTGTTGAACAGAGAGGACCAGGCACATACAGAACGAACATTCGGCTGGTCCCTGCTGAATTGGCTGATTTTCAATCCATGTGTACTCATAGATGTAGAGAAAACTGTAGAGATAGAGCATAACCTCTGCTGCACTGAAATCCCTGAGTTCTCCCTGCTGGACTACAAAACACCCCCCTTTCTGTTATGAAGGTGAGGAGAGGGGCGAGATGTTCTAAAGTTCAGCATTGGCAAACAATATTGCTTTGGATTTCAGTACTGCAGAGGTACTGCGCTGTTAGCTCACTATAGGAAGTTAGGAGCTCAATGGATTTCATCAGGTATTTTTCTGTACTTCCAGAACTTTTTAATGAGAAAAAAACATGGGGAAATGTACAGTTATTGCAGAAATGTACTAAACTTTTTTTTCAAAATTTTGTCCAGACACAAACTTTATAAACTTGATATAGTACAAATTACTGCATGCCAATTACCTCTTTTCCAAGCTGTCCATGTATTCTTTTTTCTTTCTTCGACTTTCCTGGGCTGAGATCTGCAGAGATAAACAGATGTTAATGTTATCTCACTGCAAGTAATATTAGATGCAGACATTGTGACTTCCATTAAATACAAAATGACTTTCTTGCCCGATACTCTCAAATATATCTGGTAAACCCAAAAACCTGATACACGTCATGTGATCAGCTCCCAGAGCTGGCTCCAGGGAGGGACAGTGGACAATGGATGCCCCATAGTAAGTCTGTGGGTGAGGTCACTGCCCAGGCACTGCAGCCATTGTCCCTGACCAGACCAGAGCACCCTTAGATTAGGTAAATATACATATCTTTGATTTGCAGGATAGATCACATCGGGCTGGAATGGGGGTGGGAGCAAGTGTATGCATAGATATCATTAGTCCGGACTTCTTGATCAGACAATAGAAAACACATATGCTAATAAATACTATTTACAAAGATCGGGATTTCATTGACCTTGTTCTTAATCTTCCGGCGGATTTTCTTCAGAGCTTTTTCTTCAGCCTTAGAGAGGGGCAGTTTGGTGGGGATGGGGTATCCCTCCGCTATAAGGGTCCTCTTCTCTTCCTCGGTGAGGATTAGGGGTCCTGTTCCTTGAAGCTTCTGCAAAGAATTACAATGAGATGTGTTAAAAGGAAATGAATATTAAAATTATTAGAGACTCATGGGGGAGATGCCTCAAGGTATTTCTTAACGTATTAAGAAGGTGGAAATGGAGTTTGTTGGACTGGATAGCAGTATGGCTTAGGAAGATGTGTTTAAGGACACCATTGAGAAAGAGAATTTATGCACAATACACAGTTAAAATGTGATTTTTGTCCATAGTTCGGTTCTAAGAAACTCTGCAGGGAGAAAATGCTATCTATGCCCAGCCGCTGGAGTAAGTGTGAGTCACTGATGAATAGGACAATTGTGTTCTCAGAGCCAGTATGGGTATGGGGGAGAAAAGGCTGTACATTGAGTCATCAAATGACCATGAGCTTCCTACTGCCAGTTTTCCACTGCAAGCCTTTTTTTCCAGAGCTCTGTATAACACGGTCTAGTGTTGACAGAATTCTCCATCCAGGGCATTCTCTCTCAAGATCTCAGCAACCTGATATTAGCTTGGATAAATCTACTAATATTATTTGTCGCCAATGTGCTAACATATTCCGTGGTGCTTTGAAGAGAATGGCAATGAAGTATATGCTACAGGGGGGCTTACATGTTTACTAAAGGATTACAGACTGTCCACCTAACATGGTAAATGTTCACTGACAGGGATGTGCAATTCTTATCGCCCGACGCCTGGGACATGTAGTTCTGGGAGCTGGGCAGGTAGTTTGTCTTTTAGCCCTGCTGCGGGCAAGCACCTGTCAGGTGGAAGCATTCGGGTGGCATCCGATTGCTTCCACACAGGCCACAGTGTCAGCCTCTCCCCCCTGCCCGCTATATGTCCCGGGCTCCGCTTGCCCACCTGCGGGTCCGGGACTGTGCGCCGGCGGGATGTGCTATAGGGGAGGGAGGAGAGCGGACACATCCGCTCCCCTTCCCTTCTTCTCCTGACCTGGAAGTCATGTGACGTCACTTCCGGGTCCCTGTTTGACACACTCCCGATCTTTCCCGGGAAAGAATGTAATGCGGTGCAATGTGCACTGCATTACATTCACAGGGGAGACATGCAGAGTCTTTTAGACCCTGGATGTCTCAAAAAAGAGAACCTGCCACCCAAAAAATAATCACATAGGGGGCTTTTTGTCCCCAATGTTTAAAAAAAAAAATTAAGTAGAAAAAACTTTTTTTTTTAAATGGAAGTTACACCCAAGCATAAACCCCCCCCTTCCCAAAATTTTCAAGGCCCCCCCCCCCCCCATATATATACAGGCACAAACGTAAAAGCACACGCTCTAGTGCCTGCACATGAAACGTTGATTGCAATACACGTCACATATCACCGCACACGCCAGAATGAGAGCAATAATTCTAGCACTAGACCTCCTCTGTAACACTATACTGATCACCTATAAGGGGTTTTAAAAGTGTCACCTGTAGAAAATATAGGGTAATAAAGTTTGTTGCCATTTCACGAGTGAACACAAATTTAAGGTTTGACAAGTTGGATATTTATTTACTCGATGCAACCTCATCTTTTATATTTTACAAAAAAATTGGATAATTTATTGTTTTTTGTGCCCTAAAATTAACTTAAGTGTATTTTTGACTGAAATTTTGCATTTCCTAGACTTTTGTGATAATATCGTTTGACATAAAAAATGAAACTACCGCTATTTTATTCTCTAGGGTCTCTGCTTTCAGAAAATATATAACTTTTGGGGGTTTTGTGTAATCTTCAGACCTTAAATTATTTTTTAAACATGTGAAAATAACGCAAAAACAGCTCTGGCAGCTAAATGGATAAAGGATAAGCCCGACACTCCCCTTTCCTGAAGAGCACACAATCGGTGCTCATTACACTGCAAGGTCTCACTCCTCCCTGCTAGTCCCCGGGTGTTGTGCTGGAGAGAGGCAGGGAGGGGAGAAGGAGATATACAGCGCAATGTTAAAAATATTAAATGTTTAATTTACCATAAAGCCCCTTTTGTTTTTAAAGGCCCCAAACATTACTTACAGCAGATTTAAATATGGTTTTGGTTAAAATTTATGTTTTTTTTATCAGGACGAGTGGCATGAGGGACAAGTAGACTGGGACACTGATTTAGTCCCTGGACAAGTAGTTTTTTTTTTAAATTTCCACAGCCCTGACCAAGCTTATTCAATAAGATGAAACTGTGTTCATTTCAATCATCCGATCATCTGCAAGAAAACATCCTGAATTTTTTTTTCTAATTTTCCTAGCACAAGATTGGACTTTTAAAGTGAACATGACTTCATCCTATTTAGCGCTGTCACACTTTGAATGACAATTGTGCGGTCATGCAACACTGTACCCATATGCATTTTTTTTACCATTTTTTTCAGACCGATTTATTTTGGTGGTATTTATTCACCGCTGGGATTTTTATTTTTTTTGCTATGTAAATGAAAAGTCCAAAAATTTTGAAAAAAAGTGTTTTTCTTATAACATTTAGCAAATAAATAATATTTCATCATAAATCTTGGCCAAAATTTATTCCGTTATCTTTTTAGTAAAAAAAAAAAATAAGCCAAATTAGTTTATACCCAAAAATTATAATTTTTAAACATTTTTATTTTTTTTTTTTTATATTATTTATAGGTTTTTTTTTTACATACTGTCACCCTAGCAGTACAGTGTCACCATGGTGACACTGTACTACTTGTGGGGGGTGATGAAGATTTTTTTTTTTTTTACACTGATTGCTTTTACACCCATATAGGATGTAAAAGCAATCATTTCTCTTTCTCTCTGTCTGCATTCTTGCAGTCATTGAGAACTACTGAGTGAGCTGTGATTGGTCACAGCTTGTCACATGGTACAAGGCTGTTGTGGATAGCCTTGTACCATGTGACCTCTGTGATCATTCACATATTTCACACGCAGTAAGCAATGATGTCAGAAGTGACATCTTGCTTGCTACTTTGCATGTGATCACTGATTGGCCAATTAGTGATCACATGATCGGGACCTCTTACAGAGGTCCCGTCCGACGATCGGTGTTTCACTGTGTCCGGAGGACACAGCGGGCACTGGATCGTGGTGCTGCACGCTCCCAGGGAACGCACACAAGCAGGGTGTGGGGAGGCCATTTATAAACAGCCACCCGACCCTGCAGTGCCACAGTCCGGCCGTTTATATACAACGGCCGGACGGGAGGTGGTTAAACTAAGTGAACATTCCCTTTGCTAAGTGAACATTCTATGTTCCTTTAGTAAAGAAAATCCCCACCCTTTTCCATTAAAATGTCTTCTTTAGCTACAGTCCAGTGACTTTGTCTAGACTGAGATAATATCATCAGTCTGCTGCAAGAAGGATTAAGCATTTGCTCCGTCTCCTCTCCCCCAAAAATCAGACAGCAACATTTTAACATTGAGAGGTTGCAGCAGGAGCTGATCTATGTCAGACATTTGTGAACACATCTAAGAACTGCACAGGCACCAGCATTTATAAGACTATGGGGTTTATTTACTAAAGCTGAAGAGTGAAAAATCAGGCTCACTTCTGTATAGAAACCAATCAGTTTCCAGGTTTTATTGCCAAATCTTAATTGAAAAAGCTGAGGTTAGAAGGCAATTGCTTTCTATGCGGAAGTGAACCTGATTTTTCACAATCCAGCTTTAGTAAAATAAAGCCCTATGTCATCTTTCAGCTGTGATCTCAGTCCAAAAAGTAAATTGTGACCCTGAATGATGCCCGAACAAGGCTGTCAATCTAGAGAGAAAAGCAGATGAAGGCATTGTTACTGTGGTTTCTCGGAGAGCGAATACCTGGAAGTGTCACACTTACATAGAGAACATGAAAACTATATCTAATTTTAGGTTCACTTCAACACCACGTTTGAGGCTCAGTAGTGCAGGGCATACTATCTTTTGCAAAATGATACTCATGATTACTTCCAGTTTTGCTGCACACAATACGCATGTTCAGGGCTGCAAAATACACTTCCGATTTACGTAACCTATTTCCTCCACCCTGAAACTAAAGGAGCCATAAAACCCTGCTCCTAACATCAGCCTCCTTAAAGCACTGTGATACATAACTGGCCTGTACAACCTGCGGAAGACCTTTCATATGTGTGTACCATACACTGCAAAGAAAATAAAATGTACTTACATGTGGAGCAGTCAGAAGAGGGGAATTCGAGAGTGCTGAGGGGCTGCGAGCTGTCACTTTGCTCCCGGACTGTGATTGGACAGGACTGGAGGGTGGGAGGGACCGGCTGGGGCTCTGGCCTCCTTCAGAATCACTCCCATGGCTGCTGGGAGGAGTAGGGGGCAGCTGCAATGTGTCTGATGACGCCTCTAAAAAATAGAAAAATATTTTTCAATGACAACAGTTAAATTGCAGTGGTGTAACAAAGCCATAGCAGCCCTGGTGGCTGCTCTGGGGCCCGTGGTAGGAGGGGCCCTATTATGGAAATGTTACATATAAATTTAACTGTGAAGCTTCTGTTAAAAAAAGAGCTGCAGCCAGAACTTAAAGTGGAGTTTCACCCAAAAGGGGAAGTTCCGCTTTAAGGACTGCTCCCCCGCTCCCCATTAAGGATTGGCACCTTTGGGGGTGGTTACCCGAATTTGACAGGTACCCGCTCCCACTTCCAGTCCGATCGCCTAGGCGATTGGAAACGGAAGGTGTCCCCCTCTCCCTCCCTGTAGTCTTTTCGGACACATGCGAGGTCCCAGAAGTCTACAGGACCATTCATGAAGCGCAGTGCTACTCGTGCATGCGCAGTGGGTACTAGGCTGTGAAGCCGCAAGCTATCACAGCCGGGTGCCCACACTGAAGATGCCGGTCTCCTGGAATACAGGACGGCCAGTGAAACGGCCTGCGGGGGGACACACCACGGGACCGAGGGACAGGTAAATGTCTGTTTTTTTAAAAGTCAGCAGCTACAGTTTTGTAGCTGCTGACTTTTATTTTTTGACAGGGTGAGTGGAACTCCGCTTTAAGGCTCCGTTCACATCTCACAGATGTGACACAGGACAGCTTTTTTTGCGCATTCCCAAAAATTGCATTTAGGGCACATCATTAATTTTAATTAGTGAAATGCACAAAAAAAGTCCTGACAGTTTAAAAATCACTCCACTAAAAGTTATGGAACTGCAGTACCATGTGTTTTGGCACAAGTCGAACATGAATGGCACCACCACACATCTGCAAAGGGGCAGTGCGTTTTAGTGCATTGTGGGAAAGTGCCCAAATTTTGCCCATGATTCCTAATTATGCCCCTGAATTGTAGTTGTTGGAGTTAGCAAAATTTATTGACAGCTAGATTTATATACAACTTAAAGAAGAATTCCAGGTATGGATTTTTTGCATTGTCACATTGATCCAGTTTGGAGCATACCTGTGGGATCCCTCTAGAAGAGGTGGTAGACACTGCTACTACAGAGCTTTCCACTAGTTTCTGGGTCCAATGCCGAGTGGCTGTAATGTTACATTCTGAAATCAGGAAGTCGGCCATTGAGAGATTATTTTGCATTTTCTCAATGAATGCAAAGTTTTCTCTGACTGGATGAGATGTAAAGACATCACACTCTCCACCTTTTCCAATCAGATAATGCTTTAGATTAATTGAGAAAATGTCTATGCCCTGCAGCTGACCTCCTGTATTCAGTAAGCCGCAGGGCAGCCACTCGGTGTCTACTACAGTGATTTCTAGCTTCTAGGGAGATCTCACAGGTATATTATATACATATTTACATTGGTCCAAGCTGGACTAATGTAACTATGTAAAAATATTCATACCTGGAATTATTGTTTAAAGATAATTTCCTAAAAGGCAAAAATAAATGTTCTTTCAGTACTTATCTATTAGTTTTACTGGTCCCTTCAGCTTGCTTAAAAAGTTAACTGCAAGTGATACCGAATATGCCGTTACACAGGAGTTTTAGACACCCTTCAAGCCTTATAGCCATCTCTTTATACCGTCTCCTTCTGCAACAGTATCTCCTGGCCACCACTAAAGGGAGCTCCTCCTTGCAATTTATTTATTTATTTTAATATAAGGATTTATAATCAAGTAAAATTAAGAAGAAATGATAGTGCTCTTATTACCTCAATAATACCAATGGGTACTTGTGTATTGGACAACTATAGTCCTGTCTCAGCAGGGAGTGTCGGAGCTCTGCAGAGAGACCATTGCTTCCACACAGAGAGCAAGGGTCCTTCTCTACACCTTGCTGGTGTGTACAGGCTTTTCTACTCAGGCTGTGACTGTTTTATAAAGAAAACAGACTGTGACTTTTGTCCTGATACACCTGTAATTCATTTCTCTGATTTATGTTTAATCTGTTCTATTACATTTTCATAAAGACATTTTCCAGAAAGAAAAAGAACATTGTACAGTATATCACATACTGTATATATCAGAGGAATAACATATAACATTAGCACAACCACAGTGCGTAGAGAGCTTCATGGAATGGGTTTCCATGGCCAAGCAGCTGCATCTAAGCCTTACATCACCGAGTGCAATACAAAGCATCGGATGCAATGGTGTAAAGCACGCCGCCACTGGACTCTACAGGAGTGGAGACGTGTTCTCTGGAGTGATGAATCACACTTCTCTGTCTGGCAATCCGATGAATGTGTCTGAGTTTGGCGGTGGCCAGGAGAACGGTACTTGCCTGACTACATTGTGCCAAGTGTAAAGTTTGGTGGAGGGGGGATTATGTTGTGGGGTTGTTTTTTAGGGGTTGGGCTTGGCCCCTTAGTTCCAGTGAAGGGAGCTCTTAAGGCATCAGCACAAAAGACATTTGAACAATTTCATGCTCCCAACTTTGGGGAACAGTTTTGGGATGGCCCCTTCTTGTTCCAACATGACTGCGCACCAGTGCACAAAGCAAGGTCCATAAAGACATGGTGAGTGAGTTTGGGGTGGAGGAACTTGACTGGCCTGCACAGAGTCCTGACCTCAACCCGATAGAACACCTTTGGGATGAATTCGAGCGGAGACTGTGAGCCAGGCCTTTTCATCTGACATCAGTGCCTGACCTCACAAATGCGCTTCTGGAAGAATGGTCAAACATTCCCACAGACACACTCCTAAACTTTTGGACAGCCTTCACAGAGGAGAAAGCTGCAAAGGGTGGGCCAACTCAATATTGAACCCTACGGACTAAGACTGGGATGCCATTAAAGTTCATGTGCGTGTAAAGGCAGGCGTCCCAATACATCTGGCAATATAGTGTGTGTGTATATATAGAACATATATATATATACTGTATATATCAAGCCCGAAATAACTATATAAAGACTATGTAAATGAGTGTACACTAAAGCAAACCTGATATTCATTACCTGATTTGAACTGAACCTTGGGTTTTGTGACCCTTAAAAAAAGAAAATCCTGAGACTAAGAATCCCATAAGGTACAAACATGCCTGTTGCACAAATTTTAATTTATTTTGTTTTTTAATATGCATTAATCAATGCTTCAATATGTTGCAGTGCTCACTATTTTGCTTTACTGTATGTTTTGTTGTTCTTGGCGTAATGCCCTGTGTTTGGGAGACACTTACGCTCTTTGGGACAGAGGTTGAGGAATTGGTCCACTTCGTGCGGCTCCAGCTTAATTTGGGGCAGAGATTTGGGACTCAGAGGCTTCATCTGCAAACAAACAACAGAACAGATGTTACCACTTCCTAGAACCTCTGCTAGAGAGAAGCTAATTCCATAAACTGATCTCATACTCATTACATCTTTGTCTATCTGAATTCTTTGTCGGTTACCCCAGACTATGCTATTAGAAGTGTCATATTCTGACCATTCACATACAGTTATACTCATAGAGAGTCATTCAATAAGTCAGTGGTAAGACCAACAATGATGTGCAGTACTCAGTTAACCACCAAATCAGGCTTCAGCTTAGTGAAACTAAAGAAGTGAAGTAGAGGAGACTGACGCACCACTGATCCCACACACACACAGTTCCTACCTGGTCTGACTCAGGCAGCTGTGGCACTACATCTACTTCAAGAGGTGCGGTCATTGCATTAGCCGTCAAGGTGACCGAAGGGGCGAGACCTGGGTTTTCCTGCATAGGAACCTCCATCTTTATTTTGGTGGAAGTGATCTGTCCTCCAAGACACCAATCCTCCCCAGCAAGATCACCTGTAAAGACCAAAACACAGGATTAGTATGAAGAAACTTAGCAAATGCATGAATACCAGTCAAGGTGTACTTAAAAGAGAAGTCTGGCAAGTAAAAAAACAAACATACATACACACCTAGGTGGATGCAGCATCAATCTGATGCTGCATCAGTCCTCCGTTGCCTCCAAGACTGAAAACTGAATGATCAAAGACTGCTAATCACTCAGTTCTCAGTCTCCAGTGAGTAGAGAGCCGGTGACTGTCAGTATCCGGCTCTCTGCCCCTCCAGCACTCACTGGTCCAGGCATCAGGATGGATCCCAATATTAAAGTAACTCCAGAGCCTGGACTGACAGAGTGATATCAGCTAACAACGGACTTTAGCCTCCTGTTGGCTGAATACAGGTCATAAAAGTGCACTCCTGTGACCCACAAGAGAAGTATGGCCAAAAGAGCTTTGGCCCTACTTTTCTTTTAAGAAGACCATTCTGAACCCACGGAGGGTAATGCGAAAGGTTCAAAATAACAATTCGGCCTCCCACTACTTCATTGCTCCATCACAGCTCCTTGGAAGTTCATGGTACTATCCAGTTATTAGGGAACATGTGACCTTCTCATCTATCTCCCAGAATACAGCACTCAGGTCCGAGTAGCAGATCACCAGGCCCATTTACTGTCATGTAAGTGCCAACATGGTGGCTACATGGCATTGGGCTCACGTCTCCAGTGGAGAACCTTTCAAGGCACCCTTATATTGTGCCACCCTACAATGACTCTGAAAGCAGCTAAACTGCAATGCAGGACATTCAACCAAGACCAGGAAATAAAAAAACAGACAGAGGTTCCATTATAACACATTACCACAATTCATGGTAATGCAATGCAGATGTTTGTTTCAATGCAATGAAAAATTAAGCTGGCCATAGACTGATCGAAATCCAGGGATCAATCTTTCAATCCATCCATGGCTGTTCCCATTTGTGAGAAGTTGATCTAATGATCAACATTTCACAAACAGGCTTGTTGGAAAGTTTCTGATCGATCAGAGTTGCAGTTGACCAGTATATTCTGACTGAGGAGCAGTCTTCACTGTCAGAATACAACAGCATAGCAGGGACGATTCCTCCATCCACCTCACTTGTGTCAATGTGGAAAGTTGTAAAAATCTTGTGTGACCAGCTTTACTTCGACCCCAACGCACATCTAGTGCCCTACATTAAAATCCATGGCAACATACACACATATTAGGATAGCCAGAAACTTGGTGTCTTCCAAAATAGGGCAATGTTTATTAGCTGCATCGCCAGTATGGGATGGAATACACTAAACCGTTTCGGCCATCAGGCCTAGTCATAGAAGACAAGGAGTTGCTGGCTGTCCTATTATGCATGTTGCAGTGGTGAAGGTGTGGAGACACTGAAGCTTGGACGCCAGCTTTTCCTTCTCCCTTACTGGTCATGGTTGAACGCCTTGGACTGGATTTGTTTTGTGAACGCACATACACATGCCTATTTTTACATTAGTTGTGATGCATTGCCAGCCCATTTATTTGCACTTCATCACACAATGGTGTCAAGAAAGCCTACTGTAATGGTGCAAATAGTTTTCTTGTGTGACTTTCAGTGGCAGACAGGTCTCAGCAACTAAGGGATGAAAAGTACACATAAAATGTAGAGTATTTCATTTCCAAAGAATGACATTCCACATCCTCTAAGCAATGCATAGTAAGCAGAATATTGTGCGATATGAATAAAGACTGCACATTGCCATCTGCCCACATGCTTTCACTTGTCAGTATTGCAGAATGACAAAGAACTGTAATCTGGTCAGGCAGCTATCAAAGGAAAGGACTGAACTGTCAGCCAGCAGGGAAAGTGACGTCTGTGCAGAAATCCAACACCTTATGGCTTCCAGGTTTTTTTTTTTTTATATTTGTTTAGAAAAAGGTAGATAAGGTAGATATTAACCCCAGCTTAGACTTCAACAGCTTACACTGTATAGTAATTTCTACTTGGGAGGATGGCATTAAACGGTTCTGGTTGATATTAATTGCATTTAACATACACGCAGTATGGTTGCAGAAATAAAACAAACCTTTATCTAAAAAAAACATTTAAAATGGTTGTAAACCTCTGAACTGAAAAAAAAAAAAAAGGCATATCATCATATGTCCCAACCCCTCCTCCAGCACACAACAGATGACTGACAGCCTCAGATGTGCATGTTTCTCTATGAGACTGTGTATAGAGGAGATGTGTACTTTCCCTACACTCAGGTCTCTGGTAGCACTCAGTTCTGTGCTGTGCAATGGGTGACATCGGATACCCACCCTCCTGGAAGCTGTAAAACACCATCTAAAATGTGTACTTTAAAAGGCTCTGAAGAAGAGATGACTGCAGATAAACAGGTACAGCTTATGTAGAAGAATTTGCTTCTTCTTTGTGTATCACCTGAAACTAGTCACTTCAGTGGGCTTATTATCACTTTTAAGCTGAACTCCAGGCAGATATAAGAGGACACAGTATAATGCAGCTTTTAATTCAATAGTACATAATTAAATGTATTTTTTGTTAAAGCGGAGCTCCACCCAAAAGGGGAAGTTCCGCTTTAAGGACTGCTCCCCCGCTCCCCATTAAGGATTGGCACCTTTGGGGGGCGGGTACCTGAATTTGACAGGTACCCGCACCCATTTCCGGTCCGATCGCCTAGAGAATCGGAAACGGAAGGTGTCCTCCCTCCCTCCCTGTAGTCTTTTGGGACACGTGACAGGTCCCAGAAGACTACAGGACCATTCATAAAGTGCAGCACTACTCACACATGCGCAGTGGGTAGGGTACCCGTCTGTGAAGCCGCAAGCTATCACAGCCGGGTGTCCACACTGAAGATGCCGGCCTCCTGGAATCCAGGACGGCCGGTAAAACGAGCTGCGGGGTACACACCACGGAACGAGGGACAGGTAAGTGGCTGTTTTTTAAAAGTCAGCAGCTACAGTTTTTGTAGCTGCCGCCTTTATTTTTTGACAGGTGAGTGAAACTCCACTTTAAACACAAAGCAGTTTAAGTAGCTTCTTACTGTTCCTGTACAGCAGAGCTCAGAGAGGACAAAGGAAAAGCAACACAAGTAGCCAGTCAGGTGTGTTGCTGTGCAAGAAGCTTGCTCATAGGAGGAGAGAGCTGTAAAAGGAAGGATCTGTAAAAGTGAAACTACAGCAGAGAAAACTCAGGTCCACTCCGCTGACAGACAGGACTGTGCTCTGCAGCAGAGCTGTGTAAACTGCTAGACTGGATGGACAAAATACAAAGCATTTGCTGTGTAAAACAGCTCTCTTGTATGTATTGAATCTGTGTACTTAGCAGTTTGCCTGGAATTCAGCATTAATCAAGCTCAGGCTACAAAATTAAAGAATATGTGTTGCTGTAAGGGTTACTGTGCTTTGTTCATTGCCTCTTTCAGTGACAGGTGCTCTGGTAGTCTATGGAACTGCAGTAAATTCATCATTCACCTTCTTGCACCCAGACACTCAAGGAAGTCTCTATTTTTTCACCCTATCTATAGCATCCCATGTTGTTTCACCAGGAACAATAAAACTGCCACACCTGTCATTTCGTTCAGCTGTTTCCTTGTTTTCTGTGTGAAATGCACAATGGGAAGTGAACCTGGGTGATTACAAGTGATAAAAGCCCATATAACAACCCTGTGGACGTAAAGTCACTATAACAATCATTTATAGAGTTGTTGCTATATGTAGCATATAGTTGCCAACTGCCATGAATTTCCAGGATCATGTACTGATATTCCTCGCTGGCCAAATGTGAGTTTAAAAAAAACAAAATCACAAAATATAAACTAACCAAACTAATATTTTTTCCAAACTAGTTTAATGAAAAAAAGATTAAAAATCAGACATTTAATCTGCCTAAATTTTGCCTCTCCCCCCCCCCCTTCCCATCTATATATTTATACATTTTTTTTTTAAATAAGATCTTTCTGTTTTTATTACATGCCTCATTTTAGACTGGGTCTGTGTGCTTCTCTATGCAAAGCAGGCAGATCATGACTGGTGGGAGGGGACTGCATAGCTCACTGAAACATCACAACACTCTGCGTCAGTCTCTCGGAAGGAGTTATATGCAAATATCAAAATGCCTTGATGAGCTGATGTCAGTTTGAAGGAATGGGCATTCCTAGAAAGGCTGTATTTGCATTCAGCCTACCTTAGGTAACTCCCACATGTGATGCTGAGCCTCCAGGAATGAGAGAATGGAAATTCAGTGAATAAAAGGGGTGGGCCAGGGACAGTCAGGATGGGGAGCAAAGTGCTAGATGATGCCTGGTGTCCCCCAAACAGGAAATGAGGTGGGCTCCATATTACTTGTTGCAGTTTCTATTGCACATTGTGAGAAGCTCACAGCATGCAGTGAAATCAGAGTAAGCAGTTTCAGTACAGGAGGGGGCCTGACAACTGTGCAAGACTGAAAGAAAGCCTGGAATTCAACATCAGTATGTAAATGTTTAAAGAAGAACGCTAAAAGACTTCAAATTGAAAGTATAACTTTTTTAGCTTTGGACAGAGTGGGGATGGATCAGAACACCTGTCAGGTTTTTACTGCTGTCTGTGCCCCCATTAGGGAGATTCCCCCTTTTCTATTTGTCCTGTTTACCATTATCATGAAAAGTGAAAATAAAAGAAAATCCCACATTTTGGGTTGTCCCCAGAAAAGTAATAGAGGGGAACTTTTCCAATAAGGATACTAGTTTTGATGACCTGGGGTTTACTCTCATTTCCCATTTTGGCTATGGGGCAGGAAGTGAAGGGAAATCTCCCCAATGGCAGAAAATAAATTGACAGGGGTTATAACTCTCCTTTACTCTATCCCAAAAAAAAAAAAAAGTTTTGGCTAGAGTTCTACTTTAATATGCAATGTATCTGGTAATCCAGAATTGTATATTGTCAGTGCCTTCCCTGTATTATTGTTGCTTTACACACACAGGGCAAAGCAACAGGTTTACTGTGATTGAACCCTTGCCAACAGCATATGCTGTATATACCTTCCATTTGCTCCCCGCCGCTCTGTTCTGTTGCCAGCAGCAAGGGGAAGCTGTGTATATTGGAGTTGGCGAAGTCATAGCTTACACAGGGCTATAGGCACCACATGTGACAGTACAGGTTTACTATGGTAACATTGTACTACTTTGGACATAGTGAAATATGAAAAAAAAAATCTTAAAAAAAAAAAAAATGTAATAAAAAAAATTTAAAATAATAAAAAAATAAATTTAAAAAAAATATTTTTTTTTTCACACTGTCACCAGTCAGTGTCCCTGATCACCGCCATGCCAGTTATATGATGACGCTGTACTGCACTGGTGACAGTATGTAAAAAAAAAAAAAAAAGTGAAAATAATTTTTTACATTTTTTCATTTTCCGAAAAATGACAAAAAAAAAACAACTTAAAAAAACTCGCCATGCCTCTTATGAAGTACGTCGGACTGTTTACTCTGCAAAAAGGGGTCATTTGGGGGATATCTGTACTGTTCTGACATTCTTGGACCTCATGAAATTAGATTGGCTGTCAGTACTTCAGGATTGATCAATATTCAGATCTATATCATAGTTTGTGAACTCTATAACTTTCCTACAAACTAAAAAATACATCCTAATTTGGGTTATTTTTCACCAAAGACATGTAGTAGAATACATCTCGGCCTAAATTTATGAAGAACAATTATTTATTTGCAAACTTTTATGACAGAAAAAAAGAAAAACGTGTTTTTTTTTTCAAAAAGTTTGGTCTTTTTTTGTTAATTTAGCAAAAAATAAAAAACCCCAGGCGATGATTAAATACCACCAAAAGAAATCTCTAGCTGTGTGAAGAAAATTATAAAATTTTAGTTTGGGTACAGTGTTGTATGACCGCGCAATATGTCATTCAAAGTGTGAAGCGCTGAACCCTGAAAAATGGCCTGGGCAGGAAGGTGTAAAATTGCACGGTATTGAATTGGTTAAAAAGGAGCCAAACAACTATTTGATAATAAATGGCTTCATATGATCATCATCCTTCAATAAAAGAGCATTTTTTGGCATGATCAGTCATATATATTCAATATCAATGCCAAAATTTCATAATTTCTTCCAAGGGTATACAAACTTTTGAGTACAACTGTATCTTCCATTTTGCTCCCCGCCGCTCTGTTCTGTCACCAGCAGCAAGGGGAAGCTGTGTGTATATTGGAGTTGGCGAAGTCATAGCTTACACATGGCTATAGGCACCACATGTGACAGTACAGGCTTGTCCAGAGCTATCACATGGAGGGAGTCGTGTGCTCCGATATACTTCCTTTGGTCCCCCGGCGCTGAAGGGTGTGCCGGAGTATGGAAGGAAAGGTATGTGCCGGGGGTATATGGGGGATTAAAGCAAACCTGTGCACTCCCTGTTAAGATCATTGAAAGTCATGCTGTCCCTATAGCTGCCCCCACCACTAAAAACTTGACATACTGAGGAGTGGCCACGCAAACCTCCATTTTTTTTTAAATCTTTTCCCAAGTACAGTATATGACTGTAAAGCACTGTTTACACTTAGCATTTTCTAAACGTCTTCTTCTTCTTTTTTTGTGTGTGTGTGTGCACGTTTTAACTCAACTCACACAGGGCAGCCCATTCATTTCAGAAGGCTGCCCTAGGTGCGAAAAACAAGGCAAAGTACCTTCTGTAGCTTTTTGCCACGTTCAGCCTTTCGCATTTTTAACAGCGTGTTTTTCCGCATGGCAAACATGCATCTACTTGCTGTGTTTGGGGTGACATGAACAAAGTGGCAAGGCAAAAACAACATGTGTTTTCAGTGGGTTCTGTAAATGCATGCGAAAACACGCAATTTTGCACGCGTTTACCAAACGCTCAGATGTGAATGGAGCAGAAGAGATAAGTTAGTTCCTCAGTAAGAGATGTAATTTTTCTCAATTTGTATTGGAGTTATATTATGTGTATACAGATGAAGGCAATTTAGATGTAAACCCAAGAACAAAAATGTAATATATTGCAGCTTACAAGTCCTCAGCTATGGTGGCTGTATTTGTTTTATATTTTCAGCTTTTTTTTTTTCTTTATTTTCACCTGGTAATCCTGCCAGTAACACACTCCCTGTTCTAGGGCAACAACACTCACTCATTGTACTGTATCTATGGAGGAGCAGGGTTGTCACCCTGGAACAGGACTACAAAACACCTCTCCCTCTCCTCTGTAACATCTGGGAAGGTGTTTTTTTAGCCAAAGAGAGAAATGGGAACAATGTAACTGATAAGAGAGCAACACAGACAAAGAGCACAGCAAGTTACCAGGTCACTGCATTTCTTGCAGGATCAGCAGGTAATTTCTGGCACCTTCATTGGTATATTTCACAGATCTTTAAAAAGAAGCAAAGAAGAAAAGTTCATTTTAAGTTTTGCATAGTGTAACTGTTTCAGCAGAAAATATGAGTTTCCCGACATAAAGTATTTCAAACAAAAGCGGTATAGCAAGGAGTGATGGTTTCCAACACACAGCTGACTTCCTGTCCAGGAGTCCCATAGAAGAACAAAACTAATGTTCTTTTTGGGTCTTCTTTTGGCAAAAAAAAAAAAAACAGTCAGTGAAGTACAGCAATGACACTTAAATGACAGATATTTCAGTTTCTGTACAATGCAGACTTTACATACACAGGTGGGAATTGTTTCAGCCTCATTGGTATCTCTTTCATTGTTATATTTAGGTAGCAGGTGCTACTACAATGGCTACTACAGTGAACACAACAACAACACAGACGCATTTGAGTGAGCCAGGTTACGTGTGGCATAATTCTGACCTAAATGTAAAACGTATGAAACTAAAGGGTTGTGTTCATTGGTCAGATTTAAATGTACTGACAATGAGACACTGCCAAGCCAAAAGAGCTTAGTTCTGCAGAAGCTAGGAAGGTTTAAAACCTGTATCAGGCTTTAAAGCTGAACTCCAGGCAGATTTAAAAGACAAAAATTAATGCAACATGCACATGCATGTACTGACAAGGAGCATGCTGATAGGAGAAGAAAGCAGAGTGGAAGACAGATGAGATGATCACTGTACTGCTTCTCCTATACTGTCCAGTAACAGACTGGGAAAGGGGGACAGGAAGACCTGGGCTCAGAGGAAGTGTGTTGAATGATGCTGACCATCAGACTAATGCACCGTGGGGGAAATCTCTGAATTGATAATGAATATTGCAGGCAATTTTGTTGTTGTGCCGTTAGATAGGCTGTTCAATTCTATCTTGCCATTGTTGACAAGAGTACTACTTAAATTGTTGCTCGTGTCTTTATTAGGGTAATTCCTGTTACGGTGACATCTGTTAGGGGATACCTATCCTGGAGATAAGTGTCACAACTAGGATACAACCTACCCAAAACAATGCTGCTGCCTGGACCCCTTAAGAACCTGCATGCACACTGTACGTAGGGAAAGGAATCTTGGGAGATGTAGCTCTGTGGGTATGCCTATGTCAATGGGAACGGAGCCCCCAGTAACTGCCCCTGTAAGAATTTTAGAAGTCTGGTGATAAGGTCACAGGCAGTAAGAAAAGCTGTATCTCACTACAGGTGTAAGGTAAAAGAAAAATGAATGCCGAGACAAGATCTAGAGGGGGAGGGTTGGAGGTTAATTGGGTAATACGCGGACATACAATTTAACCACCCCTGCCCCACACCTAGTGCTTGCAGATCTTACCATCACTGAAGTTGTCATCAGAGGAGCCATGGGTGAACGGGGACTGAGGGCGAGAATCTCCACACAGGGAGTAGCTATGTTCTGCTTTGATCATGGGAGAAGGTGAGTTTGGGTTGTCCACTTCCATCATTTCATATTTATCGGTCAGGAACGGGTCACCAATTAGCTGTCCTAGTGCATCCAGCAGGGCGGTGTCATCCAGGAGCTCTGAGAAAGGCTACAAAGGAAATAAATCCTGCAGTTAGTAAAAGAACAGAGAGTAACCAAGACACATAACCACTAGGCCTTACATTACATCAGACCATGGGTCCAGGTGAAGATACAAATATTTTTCTCAATTGCTTTAGAAACGTATGGTTATAGAAAGAAAGGGGTCACCTCCATGACAAAAAAAAAGACAAAAAAATTTCTTTTAATTTTTTTTTTTCTTTTTTTTTTGTGATCTTTACCAAGATTGTTTTATAGACAATCAACCCAAACCTAGCCATACATGTATAGATTTTCATTAGAAAATTTTAATTTGAAGAACATTTGTTTGATTTTCCAATCATTAGTGGGGTCAAATCAATGTTAGTTTTCGACTGCAGTGACAGGAAAATCAGAAGGGGCAGAAAGGAAAGCTTTTCTCGATTGAACGAATTTTCGGACAGTGTATGTGATTATCGCTCACAAATTACATTCATTTACATATTGATTGTTTAAAGGATAAGTTCACCTTTTGGTAAAAAATTAATAAATGCACATTTTTTTTGCAGCAGACAGCCGCCAAGGCTGTAGGGATTGTAGTTTCTAATTCACAGAGGAGTGTTGCGGCCGGGCAGGCGGAGCTCCACACAGCCACGTTTTTTTTAAATTTGACAGCTGGGGGGGGGGGGGGAGTGTAGGCTGGTGCTTTCTTAACATGTTACACCCTGAATATGTGTGTAGCATGTAACATGTTATGAAAGGTGAATTTATCATTTAAAGCAAAAAACAATTTTTGAACGACATTCGTCCTTTCATCGAATGTCCAACGATACCTCATACGACGCAGTGACGAATAGAAGAACCAATGGTACCCAATTCGATCTTTCCTTCCATACTGCACTAAATGGGAAGGTGTGATTGTCTAGTTTTAACTGGAGAGGCCATATAAAGAATCAACTAAAAACCACAAGATGGCCCATACTTCTAGAAAGTAAATTTTTTATTTATGTATATATTTTACAGATAATGGTTACAGAAAGTTTATGGTCTTACAGAAATCTTACCAATTTTTCTAGATTGTGCTAAGGTTATGTTAGGTGTCTATTTTGGACACATAGGGGGAGATTTACTAAACTGGTGCACACAGAACCTGGTGCAGCTGTACATAGTAACCAATCAGCTTCCAGGTTTTATTCTCAAAGCTTAAGGCCGGCCATACATGGGTCGAAATTCGACCGGTTTTTCGTTTGAAAATCAGACCTAAGAATAATCGGCCGATTTTCGCTCTGTTAGTGGGTCAATATCACCGGCCGATTTTTGTGGTTCCTCCCCTTTTCGGTGATCGGGCACATTGAAAAATTTGTGAAAAACAAACCGATTTTTGACTCAATGATGGTCAAATCGTACGATCATTTTTCCAAAAAGAATATGCGCATGAGCCGTGACCTGGAAAAAACAGAAGTTCGCCTGTTATATGGGGTGAACTTTATGACTTATAAAATATGTGCAGCGCTAATCAACAACTCAAATGGAGCAAGGTATGATAGATGTCCCCAATATCAAAAACCGTAAATAAGTGACAGTCTATATGATGGAAATATCGTGAAATATGACTTCAATCCAGTGGTGGTGCTCCCAGTGGTAAGGTAAGAAGTACGCACTCACCAGAAGCGTAATTAAATTACGCAGTGTGTATATCAACAGCAATCCCCTTCACAAGTATAGGTCCGGGCTGGAACACAAGGTGATTCTCCCTCCAGGTAATCAGGATATGAGCCCTCAGAGGATGTGAGTAGATCCAGTTGGCCACAGGTCCCTTTAAGGGATAGGTGGGTAGAGATGTCTGCTTACAGGTGCTTCCCTCTCTGGATATGGTGGACTGGAAACTGGATCACAGCAGGGCTCCGCTGTTTGGTCCTCCTGCTCTCACCGCGGTCCACTGCCCCCGGTTCCCGCCTCCAGTGCTCGGCTCTCAACGGCTCCACAAGCAGCAGTGGCCATTCATCACCAGGTAAGGAGAGACGCAGCGATCGCCGATCACACAGAGGCAGATGAGCACTTTAACCCAATTGAGGGACAATCAGGCGGACCCCGGATAAGGCAGACAGCTGCTCGGATCCCCAGACTATGGCTCGCATAGGAAGGCTGAAGAGAACGTTCGCCGAGTCATCGACCAGACAGACTAGCCAGGAGCGCCAATGGAACGCCGAGCCGGGGCCAGCTCAAGACCCGCACTGAACTTTATGACTTGGTCGGACGATTTTTGAAAATCATTGATGGCACCATCGGATTACCGAGCGAACGTTTTCAATTTTCAGACGAAAAATCATTCGGAATTCGAACCATGTATGGCCTGCATAACTGAACAAGCTGAAGTTAGAAGCTGATTGGTTACCATGTACAGCTGCACCAGATTCTGAGTGCACAAGTTTTCGGAAATCCCCCCACAGTATTTATGGGGTTCTTTCCAACAACATGAGGCTACACTGGGGGCCGATTTACAATAAACAGAAGAAGAATACAGCAGCCTCTCAGAGTAACCAACCTGGGTTCATATCTCCGGTATGAGAAACTAGTTAAGGTTTCCTCTAGTATTTGTTAATCAGCCCCTAATTCCTTTTCTCAGGAAATGTCATTAGCAATTTGTAGGCCTTGACAGTAAGCAACATAAAGTTTGTCTTGGAACCTTTCAAGTAAATAATGAAAAAGGCCTCCAGGTCAGGGTGACCTGGACAAACAACACATCCGCCTACAGATGGTGAGAAGAACCAACATGGAGAATAGTTTACAGTTTGTATGGAAAGGGAAAGGGAGGTCTATGTAAACAGACCACTGGAGAAAGTCCAGACCTCCTGCTAGGACCACAGCAAACATCTCTCCAGCCAAGACACCATGTACAAAGCACCATCTCCATCTGAGCAACGTTATAAACCATTACTGATTAGGCCCCATTCACATTAGGGCATTTTGCATCACAGGCAGAATCGATTCTACCCGTGATTTCAAAACGCTCTGCTAAAATGACAAATCACAGAACTGCGTTTTCAGATGCCATTCATTTCAATGGCACATGAAAACGCAGTGTGGCTCTGTTTAGGTGCCATTCATTTTATTCGCAGCGACACGTGTCACCCAAAAGAAGTTATTTTTGGCAGTACCCGTCAAGCAATGGGGTTTGCTGTGATTTATCGTGCGACAATCGCACCAGAACTGCAGCGCATTTTCAGGTGCCATTAAAAGGAATGGCACCTGAACACACAGTTCCGCGATTTCTCATTTTTAGCAGAGCGTTTTGAAATCGCAGACAGAATTCAAAACGCCATAGTGTGACTGGGGCCTTCTATTTAAAGTTATATATTGCAACTTACTAGACAATAGATGTGGTGGCTGCATTAGTTTTCTTTTTCATGCTTTTTTTTCCTGTATTTTTATCTGCTGACCCTGCCAGTAACAAACATCCTGGGCTAGGGTGACAACACTCACTCACTGTACTACAACCTTTCTCAACCAGGGTTCTATGGAAACCTGGGGGTTTTCCAGAGGTTGCTATGGGTTTACTGAGCAATTTTGCCTTTCATATAGGTAACCACAGACACCAATGATCTTTTAACTACTGTCTCTGTGAGGGGAGCATTCATCCTACGGACCACCAATGCAAGGAGCATTCTTCCCACTGACAAACAATTTACAAAGCATTCTACCCAATGACCACCAATGCAAGGAGCATTCTTCCCTCTGACCACCAATACAAGGAGCATTCTTCCCTCTGACCACCAATGCAAGGAGCATTCTTCTCACTGATCACCAATGTAAGGAGCATTCTTCTCACTGATCACCAAATGTAAGGAGCATTCTTCTCACTGACCACTAATGTAAGGAGCATTCTTCTCACTGACCACCAATGTAAGGAACATTCTTCTCACTGACCATCAATGTAAGGAGCATTCTTCTCACTGACCACCAATGTAAGAAGCATTCTTCTCACTGACCACTAATGTAAGAAGCATTCTTCTCACTGACCATCAATGTAAGGAGCATTCTTCTCACTGATCATCAATGTAAGGTACATTCTTCTCAATGACCATCAATGTAAGGAGCATTCTTCCCACTGACCACCAATGTAAGGTACATTCTTCTCATTGACCATCAATGTAAAGAGCATTCTTCTCACTGACCACAAATGTAAGGTACATTCTTCTCACTGACCATCAATGTAAGGTACATGTTTCTCACTGACCATCAATGTAAGGAGCATTCTTCTCACTGACCACTAATGTAAGGTACATTCTTCTCACTGACCACCAATGCAAGGAGCATTCTTCCCTCTGACCACCAATACAAGGAGCATTCTTCCCTCTGACCACCAATGCAAGGAGCATTCTTCTCACTGATCTCCAATGTAAGGAGCATTCTTCTCACTGATCACCAATTTAAGGAGCATTCTTCTCACTGACCATCAATGTAAGGAGCATTCTTCTCACTGACCATCAATGTAAGGAGCATTCTTCTCACTGACCACTAATGTAAGAAGCATTCTTCTCACTGACCATCAATGTAAGGTACATTCTTCTCATTGACCATCAATGTAAGGTACATTCTTCTCACGGACCATAAATGTAAGGAGCATTCTTCCCACTGACCACCAATGTAAGGTACATTCTTTTCATTGACCATCAATGTAAAGAGCATTCTTCTCACTGACCACAAATGTAAGGTACATTCTTCTCACTGACCATCAATGTAAGGAGCCTTCTTCTCACTGACCATCAATGTAAGGAGCATTCTTCTCACTGACCACTAATGTAAGGAGCATTCTTCTCACTGACCACTAATGTAAGGAGCATTCTTCTCACTGACCACCAATGCAAGGAGCATTCTTCCCTCTGACCACCAATACAAGGAGCGTTCTTCCCTCTGACCACCAATGCAAGGAGCATTCTTCTCACTGATCACCAATGTAAGGAGCATTCTTCTCACTGATCACCAAATGTAAGGAACATTCTTCTCACTGATCACCAAATGTAAGGAACAT